TCAGACTCGCAGTGATCCTCCTGCTTTCAGCCTCCCCAGTGCTGGGATTACAGCTGTGTGCTACCAACCCCAGTCTCAATCACCAGCTCAGCGCATGGGGGGCACCACATGGCATGTGGTGCCGGGGATTGAACCCTGGTCCTTGTGTCTGCCGAAACAATCTGCTGAGCTAACTGGTCAGGCCCTTTGAACAAATTTCTTGATATCCTAGTTCTTCAGTTTCTTCATCTATGAAATGGAAACAGTAACTGTGTTCTTATTCTCAGGCTCGGCCTGAGGAATCATGACGTCAGTGCACAGGAACACTAGAGCAAGTGTGTTAGCCACAGTCAAGTGCTCAGAACTTCTGAGCTCATGCTTAGGCCACAGCTGCTGTCTGTTTGGCTGGACAATGAATGGCTTCTAAGTGCTTCTACGCAAAACCCTAGATGGTTCTTTATTCCTTGTCGTGTAATTTCTGCTTTGTACATTAAAACCTCCAAGCATATCATCTTGGCCAATATTGTAAAGCCTCAAATAAACAACATTGGAAAAATAAACGTGTTTAGCTACACGATCAACCAAAAACAAAGCTCATTGCTGCTTCTTGAAGCCATATCAAGTCATGAACATGGTGAGCAAAGGCCCTTTTGCACGAAAGAAGCTTCAGGAAAGGATTACTTGGGCTCAGGCTCCCCTCCACACCCTGGCTTAGGAAACCAATGAAAGTCACCCTAGAGCCACAGAGAAGGAAGAACCCCCAGAAAGGCAGAAATGCTCAGCACCCCTTGAGGAACGAGAGCACCTCGCTGTCCAGCTCACTGTGCACACTCGCTGCTCTGCTGATGGATCCCAGCAGAGCCGACCCTGTTCTTGGCTGTTGGAATATATCATGGCAGCTCCGAGGTGCGATTTCTCCCCATGTTGCATTTCTGCTGAGACTGCGGGAGGGACTGTGCAGTTTCAGGTGAGCACTTCTCTATGTGCTCCACTCTTGGGGCTGCAGGTTTCCTTCCTCCTGCTTTCCCTGCAGGGCCCACCCCTCTAGAAGACAGATGGCTGGAGAGGATGCCAGGGCTGGCAGTACAGGGCTGGGCTGCTGGTGTGGAGAGTGAGGAGGGCAGGAAGAGTGGGGTGCGGGGCTGTGCTAGCTGCCTGCGCCGAGGCCAGACTGCTACTTCAAGAATTGGAATCAGTTCTCACTTCATTCACGCATTTGCTTGCTGTAAAAAATAACTGATACTTTTTCCATCTGTGAAATATAGCCAGAAAGGGGGACGAAGTTCAGGGAGGGGGACAAAGGTCAGAAGCTATAGGAAGGCAAACTGCTTTATTTAGGGCTTGTGAAATGGGGCAAGTTTCCTCCAGGCAAGGAGGTCAGGGACATCTTGGGGGCCCTTGAGATTGGACATCCAAGTGCAAGCTAGGATGGGGCAATTTAATGACCAGGAGAAGGGAGAGGGTGGAAGGAGAGGGGCCAGCCCCTGAGATGCTGCTGGGGCAGAAAGCAAGGTGCCTGAGTACAACAGGACTAAAGGGTAGCCAGCCTCTGCCCTCTCGGTTACTGACAGCTCGTACAGAACCTGGCCCTGGCTTGACCTCTGTCAGTCCTTAGTGAACCCTGATGGGATCCTAGATTTCTACAGGCAGGAATAAATTTTTATTTTTTGTATTATAAAGTTTTCTTTGTTTATTTCTAAATTTTGTTTTAAAGAGAAAAAAAGGGCCAGCCAAATAGCTCAGCAGATTAAAGCACCTGCAATCAGGCTCAGGGGCTGGGGGTTCGATCCCCAGGCCAACCATGCTGGTCCCACCCCCAGGGTGCACTGAGACTGCAATTGCGATTGGGCATGGTGGCACGTGCCTATAATCCCAGCTCTTGGGAGGCTGTAAACAGGCAGATAACTACAAGTCCGATCTAGTAGTGAGACCCTGAACACCCTGTAGAGCCTGCCCTAAAATACAGGGGAAAAAAAGAGAAAAAGGAAAATAAAATAAAATTTTATAATGAGGTAATGTAAAAGTGACAATAGTTAATACATTGTGTATTGTTGTCTTTAAAGTAATTACTTAGAGAACAAGATACAGGCATGAAAAATTATCCAGACAAAATTAGCAGAAGCTTTTCTTTTTACTGAAATTAAAAACTTCAACAACAACAACAACCAGTAATACAGGTATCTTAACTATCTCTCATATGGACAGTGTTGTGGTTTGTGTCTAGTTGTCCCCTGAAATCCTCATACAGTCATGGGGTGAGTTCTAGAGCTTGTGATTAATTTATGATCCAGTTCTTGGTTATAGGTGTGAGTGTAGCACCCACCCTGAAGGCAACACAAGGAGGGAGAGAGGCTTGCTAGGTGTTACAGCCGCTGCTCCACCCTTTGCTCTTTGTTGCCTTCCTCCGCCATGAGCTGCTGCCTTCTGTGATGTGCCACTCTACCTTGGAGCCAGACAAGTATGGACTGACACCTCCACAACCTGTGAGGTGTATAAGCCTTTCCTTCCTTAATTTCAGATGTTGGGTATTTTGTCCCAGCAATAAGAGAAAAGTAACTGAGACAGACAGATTTTAAGAGATGAAGTAATTTATTCATAGTCATACAACTTATGAATGACCTAGAGATTCAAATCAGGTTTTTCTGGTCCCAAAGTAGGACTCCTAAGCTGCGAATTTGAAATACATCATAGTGTGTAGAGACACCCACACTCCTGGACACTTCCAGTTTTAGCATAAAGAATAATATGAATAGACCCATTAGAGACAGAATAAATAGGAAATGGAGAGAACAGAAATAAGCAAAACTTGATAGCAAACCCCTAGATGAAATAGATAATGAATGATTGTGGTATATAGATGCAACGGAAGGACATTCTGACACACCACTACATGAGTGAACCTTAAGAACATCATGGAACATGAAGTAAGTCAACTGCAAGGAAGGGAAATGCTCTGATTCCAGTTGTATGAGGGACCTACAGCGGTCGAAGCACAGGCCAGGTAGATACTGAGGTCTTGGCAATTTCTTATAAACCATGTCTATGTAGAGATGGTACCTGACATTCTTTGTGTGAGATTAACTCACACTAATCTCAGTACCTGTGAGTTTCAGCGAGGTTAAGCAGTCCCCCAAATCTGCAGATACTGGCTTAGAACCTGAGTTGATCTGATTGCATAGCCATGCTTTAAAGCACCAGCCTCTCCAGCTTCCCGTCTTGCGCACAGCAGGAGATCAGACAAGATGTTAAAGTTGACTTTGCATTTCCAAGGAATAAAGCTAGAGCACATAATGGAGTCCATGACCAAGTCTAGAGTCAGCCAGAGTTAACTTCTGATCTTTCACCACCAAGAGCATCTCCTCCCTGCTGTCACCACATGCACACCTCTACATTGTCTATACCCCAGCACCTGGCAAACTTTGTCCTTTCAGTGTCCTGCGTCTCTGGATTTCTCCGTGTCATACCTCACAGCAACTAGCTTTGGGTCTAGGCATTAAGAGTTGTTTTTTTTGCAAAACAGTCACAGTTGCTCAAAGTGAACCCAGGCCTCTGAACCTCCATGCCTGCTCTTTTTTCTTTGAATAATGAATCAATTTTAATAGGAAAACAACTATGACAATAAAACAAGGGAATTGAACCATTGCTTGCATCAGAGAAGAAGGAATTTAAAGCAGGTGACATCATGAGGTCCAAGAGCATGAGCAGACCCAAAGATCAGTGTGACAGAAAAGTGCAGGTGACAGGGCACAAGAGTCCATCTGTGCACCCCTGCTTGAAACCTGAGCTCAGGCTCTGACCAATGTCAGTCTGTCCATCTAGCCCTCCGCTAGATTTCAATGCAGGATTTTATGAAGCAAATCAATACACAAGCTTAAAAACTATTGGCTTTATTTAATCTTCAATTCAGCATTAACTTTTTTTTTCAATACTATACCTGTTTTGTGCTTGACATCCTTCTTGATAATAGAAGGGGATCTTTTTTTTTTTTTAATTTTATTTTAGGGAAGGGTCTCCAGAGTGTTCGGGTTCTCACTACTAGATCGGACTTGGAGTGATCCGCCTGTTTACAGCCTCCCAAGAGCTGGGATTACAGGAGTGTGCCACCATGCCCAGTCTCAATCGCAGTCTCAGAGCGCCCCTGGGGATCGAATCCTGGGCCTGCAAGCACTTTAGTCCGCTGAATGATTTGGCTGGCCCTTCCTAGAAGAGGAATTGTGAAAGGCAGGAAAAGTGGTTGTTCTTATGGTGCTTTTATTCCAGAGGAGAGAGAAGGGGATTTAACTAACACATCAATATAGAAATAAAGGAGAACAGTAAGTTTTAAAGAAAGAGTTGCAACCAGTGATATGTCTGGCCTGGTATGGCTAAACGGCAGTCTCCAAAACAATACAAGTAGGGATCCTTTAGCCAGTTTCATGCTCTGTGGTTTCGAATGACTTCTGTTTCACGGTATTGTAATTGTTCCATTTTGTCATTAGTTAATCTCTCACTGTGCCTGAGTCTATAAACGACACTTTACTGTAGGTATGTATGGATAGGAAGAAATACAGTCTCCCCAGGGCTGGCTGTTAGCCGTGGAGGTAGGCATCCACTAGGAGAGACACAGTATTCAGTTCCTAATCCGTGGAAACTGAACATCATTTCTATGGCAAAAGCCGTGTGATTAAGGTGGAGAGGAGGTGTGCGTTCCCGGCAATCCACGAGCGTGCTAAAGCCGTCATATGAATTCTTTTAAGACGACAGGGTAATTCTGGACCCGATAAGAGACAGCACTGTGAGGACGGAGGTAGAGAGTGCAGTAAAGCAGCCCTCAGCAGGGAGCTGCAGCCCCAGAGGCCCAAGCAGGAGCCCGAGGGTTGGCCCCGGAGCACTCCTGGAAGCGGGGCTCCCGACACCTACGTCTGACCTCTGGCCTCCGGAACCGCAAGGGGGAAACGTCTGTTGCTGGAAGCCACTGACTTCGTGGTGACTGCGACAGCCAAATGGTAGGAAAAGCCTCCCCGGCCAAGGCCACGCTGAGGCTAGGCGAGTGGGGAGCACGAGCGAGCGAGCGTCCCCGTGAAGATGCGGGAGAGAAGCTGCGGGTGGAGGGCAGGCGGTGCAAAGGCCCGAAGGCGGCAGGGGCCGGCTCCCGGCTCTGGAGGAGGCTCTGCGGGGCGAGCGCAGGCTGCTGCCGCCGCAAGAGCGCTCTGCTGCCGCGCGCACCGAGACTGGACCGAGAGGGGCAGGAGCTCCAACAGGGGAACCAGGCGGGAATGTGCGAGAGAATCCACAGGAAGCGCTCCTGCAGGGAGCCACTGCAGAGGCTGAAGGGACAGGAGAGAGGAGATTGAACTAGGCCGTGGAGTAAAGCAGCATGGAAATCCTTTCTAGATTTGCCCAACGGGGAAGACTACGGTGCTGTGTGCTGAAATAGGCGAGGAGTGAGTTGAGAAGGGAAACGAGAGACCTTCCCTTAAAAATACAGGATGAGTACCGCTTATCTAGTGCTTGTGACTAGAAGTGCTTTGGATTAGGGAATAATTTTTATGTATATAGTATCTTAGGGGTGGGAGCCAAATGGAAAGATAAAAGTCTTATGTTTCACATATGCCTTATGCAGGTGATGTAAAGAAACTTTATACACTATTCTGAAATAATTTTGTGCATTAGCAGTGGTTCACGGTATGAGCCATGTTAAAACTCCAAAAGTTTTACATTTTGGAGCTATTAGGCTTTCAGGTTTCCTGATTAGAGATGTTCAGCTTGTATCAAATTTGCAACACTTACGGACTTTCAAAGCTCAGAGTAAGAGATAAATTTGGATTTAGGGATAGAGACTTAAGAGCCATCCCTATACCGCCATTTAAAATGTGACTCAGAAATACTGCTGAAAAGAGAGAGGTAGAAAAGAAGAAAAGCCCAGAGCAGGATCCTTGGGGGCTAGCGCTGAGAGAGCAGGGTGAGGAAGAGAAGCCACCAAGGGAATCTGAGACACTGGAAGATACAGGAAGTGACACAAGGAAAATATGAGAGGTCTCAGAGCTCAAGGGAAGGACAGAGCCCGGCGTAGGGCATCATCAATCATATCAACATTTATTTTTCTTGCTGGCTAATTTATGTGTACATTAATTGGGGAGTTAGTGTCTTAGTTTCAGGTTGGTAGGTGTCTTCTCAGCTGCTGTCTCATCCAATGATAGTGGAACCCTAGAGTCCCTTAGAAAAGATCCCCAGGGCTCACCTGGGCTTGGGAGACAAGCCAGCTGGCATCTGTATGGGGTACTGGTGTGAAAAGTTGGACAGGAGTTCTGTTCGTTTTACCATCTTGCCTAATCTAAAGGAAAGGAGTCAGTTATGGTAATG